TACATCTGACTTTATCGAGCCATCCTGGTATTTTGCAGCAAAATTGCTTACTACAAGATAAATGGTTTGCTTACTCTATCAACAATAATACCCCATTATTAAGAAAAAGTAACAGTTACTACACATTCAAAAGTACATAATTTGAGCCCAAATAGAAATTAAAATATTTTCATAATTGAAGCAACTAAAGGAAAATTGGCTGAAAAACTCCACGATAATTTTAAATTCTGTGTTCTTTTTTGTGTGTATGATAATTTCTTCTTTTTTGAAAAATATATGTTTATTTATTTCAGAGAGAAAAGGAGAGGGAGAGAGAAAAAAAGATCAAGAGGAGAGAGAATCATTGATTGGCTGCCTCCTGCATGCCCCCCTTTTGGTTATTAAGACTGAAACCCGGACATGTGCCCTGACCGGGAATTGAACTGTAACCTCCTGGTTCATAGGTAAATGTTCAATCCCTGAGCTACACCAGTTGGGCTATATTCTGTTTTCTTGACTGAAGAGCCAAAGCTCATATCTCCACACCATTTACTTCCATTACATGAGAATCAGATGATTGATAACATTTGTCTCGAGTAACTGGCAGTATGAAAGAGCACATACAAGATGTAAGACAACTAAGAAAAGCTTAAAATGAACCACAGATGGTAGGATAAGGTACAAAAAAGATACCTGCAAAGAAAGCGATAACACTTAAACCTTACGTGCCTAAAAAAATCTTGTTGAAATCTAGGTGGAAATGAGCTTTGAAGAGAGATAGGCCTGGGTTCAGATTCTGGTTCTTCCGGCTGTTAAATGTGAGCCCATGGGCAAACTGATTAATTTACTGAACCCTCAGTTTCCTCCTGTGCTAATTGGGTACAATCTCAAGTTCACAGAGCTGGTATGAAAACTGGTGCGTAAAGTGACATGTGGTATGTAATTTCCATAAATTGTAGTTATTAGTATACCTGGAAAATATTTACCATTGACTTAAAAGTCATGTTGTTTTTTCAATATGAAGTAAAGATAGCAGCATTTCTCTTGTAAAAGTTCCACAGGGATTTCTTTTCCTAATTCATCTACCACATTGGCAGAAACAGCATTGTAAGTTTAACTTGGCTAAGTACACTTCATTCATCTGTCAATAAGATTCTGGGCTTCCAATCCAGTTGGCAATTGTTGAAGCTGGATGGAGCGGAACAGGCTACACAACAGTGTTGTATTCACCTCAGAGGGTTTATGCTACCAACAATAACATCATATCTCTGTCAGTCAAGCACAATTATAGGGCTTGATAAACTGATACAAATAAAAAAGCCACTAAAAACAGGTCTCCTGACTCTTCTGGCTACAGATACAGGACTTGTTTGATTCTGTTACCTGTGATTATTAGAATGGCTCCTCCTTTTTGGACAGAAGGACAGAAAATCTTCCTACCCTATTGACTCTAAAAAAGGTCAAAACTAGTGAAAATTTTGCTACATTTGAAAACCCTGGAGTCATTTTGTAAATTTAATCATGTTCTTTGCTTCTTATTGAAACATGAGTCTATTTTATCCAAAATAGAGGGGTACCATTTCATGCCCTTTGGAATCAGGCAACACAATGGTTGGGCAAATCATTTCAGCAAATACATTTGTGATATCCGAGCTAGGTGCTCAAAGCACTTGCATAAGTTCCTTTAGAATAGTGATGGCAAACCTATGACACGCGTGTCAGAGGTGACACGGGAACTCATTTTTTGGTTGATTTTTCTTTGTTAAATGGCATTTAAATATATAAAATAAATATCAAAAATATAAGTCTTTGTTTTACTATGATTGTAAATATCAAAAAATTTCTATATGTGACACGGCACCAGAGTTAAGTTAGGGTTTTTCAAAATGCTGACACGCTGAGCTCAAAAGGTTCGCCATCACTGCTTTAGAACAATGTTTTAATACATGTTACCTTTATGAGAAAGAAAATAGGAAAAAGTACCTGATAGTAACATAAATCTATAATAATAAAAGTGTAATATGCAAATCAACCAAATGGCCAAACAGGGGAAATACCGTCCAGATGACCTTCCGGATGAAGACGGGGCTGTGAGGGCCAGCCGAGGCAGCCAGGGCTGCGAGGGCCAGTCGAGGTAACTCGGGTTGCAGAGGCCTACCCTTGCATGAATTTCGTGCATTGGGCCTCTAGTTACATAATAATAAAATTGTTCCTTTGCAACCTTTTACAGCATCGTATTCACCTCAGAGGGTTTATGCTACCAACAATAACATCATATCTTTTTGTCAAAATGGGTAAGGCTAAATAATATACTGAACAGCTCATAAAGAGCCAATAGATTTGTGGGATCCAATTGAAGTTGTATTTTAACTTTTAAATTATAAATGATACCAATATGCAAGGTTAAAAAAAAACTGACAAAAGAAATGCTTTTGTGTGATATAGCCAAGTTTTCCAAACTATATCAATGAAGATGTAAATGTACAACTCCTAAATTAAATGTTATAATTAAGGTGGGGTTTTGTTGTTGTTACTGTTGTGTAATCTTACTTGAGAGTATTACTTCAGAAGGGCAATGAAAAATAATGACTCTCAGAGAGAAAAGAAATCTGCCATTTTTACTCAGGCCAACCAATCTACCATTCGTTTGTTTATTAACAAACATTAGAGTGCCATAATGCTGTCTTTTGCACTATTGAGCACTATTGAAAGTGAATGACAAGAAAATGCACATCAGGACAATCAAGTTATATTTCAGTACAAGTAACAAGACCACCAAAGCTCATGGCTAGAAGGAAGTGGGAGAAATTTACTTGACACAGGTTCCGTGCCAAGGAGAGCTCATCAGAAGCAACTGTTTGACTTCTGAGACTACCTTTGGGCTTTCCATTTAATCTACAATGGTTTTTCATTTTGTAAAATGTGAGCAAACTGAATTATCTTTTAGTCAGTATGAAAACTCGATTATACCTTATTTCTTGGATTTGCTTCAATTTGCTAAACACAATATAACTTCTTTAAAATGAAGTTGAGATGGGGCAGTATTAATGCTTGTCTATAGTTTATCTTTTTACATTTTTTGGTTATGCTTTCATTTGTATAACTAGAGGCCCGGTGCATGAAAATTCGTGCACTCAGGGGTGGGAGGGTTCCTCAGACCAGCCTGTGCCCTCTCACAGTCCGGGAGCCCTCCGGGAATGCCCACAAGGAGCGGGCCTATGCTGTAGTCTAGCCTCCCTCTGCAGAAGGCAACCAGGTCAATCAGGGGAAGGCACCACCCCTATCACCCAGCTCAACCCTCGCAGTTGCCGTGGCTTTGTCCGAAAGGATATCTGGAAGGACGTTCAGCTGTCTGGTTTAATTAGCATATTATGCTTTTATTATTATAGATTATTTATATCAAGGATTATCATTTGACCCATGGCCTGCCAAACCGATGTACCAACAATTCCTGTTATAAGACACTTACAATTCATAAGGATTCAGGATAACGTGAAATGCAGAAAGCATTTCAAATTAGACATGTCTAGTTGAATTGCAGTTTTGCAAACCCTCTGTGACTGTGCAGTTTTGACCCTCAATTTCCTCACTAAACAATGGGAATGGCAACATCCGAGGGTGGTTGTGAGACAAAATGAAATCATTAAACTTATGGCTTGCCATCTAGAGGGTTAAAATGTATTATTTATTGTGGGGTGTCTTTTTTATATAACAAAAGGAAGAAAAATTGAAATCTGTAGATAAAGAACCTGGACTAGTAGATAGCCCCAAGAAAGCAAGAACTATATGTCTGCTAAAATTGTGAAGGGCCAAAGAGGAAATAAATAGAATCCTGAAAATCATCATAAGGCAGAAAGATTTAACTACCTCTTGGCCTGCCTAATACTTACATCCACAAAAAGAAGCCTTGAACACTCTATTCTGGCTGTAATCTCCACAGTTTCCTCTGGGTAGTAGTGGTTTGTTTCTAGTTTTAAAGACAGAGGCTTAAATAAGAAGCCAAAGAATCAAGCTCCTGGGCCTGGGGTATGCCATCTGCCTAGCATTAAGCAAGAACCGAAAGTCAGTTACAGAAGCACAGTCATTTCCAACATGATTTATGTTCCATCCTTGAATGTGGCAGGAAGACTGCAAAAGATATTTGGAAGCCAATGCTTCCTCTGAATAAAGTAAATGAGTATAAGCTAAGCCCTTCTCCCGGACCATGCTGGCCTGTTAGATAGGTTGCCAATGTGGAGTCCGTGAACCCTGGAGTAAAGTGGCTGTTCGGGGATGAGAAAATAGCTGGAGGCCAATGATCATCGCTACCGTAAACGACCAGCGCACAGTACAAACACTGAGGTCAGACAGCAGATATCCAGGATATTACTCAAAAACACATCTAGCTCAAAGCTGACAAGATAATCTGTTCCTGTGGGTGCAAAGCAGACTGGAATGCTGGCGCTATGACCTACTCAAGGAAAGAAAAAAGAAAGTGCAACTCTCCAAGGGCTCCATATCATGCTTTCTGTGCAGGCAAAAGTCCAGCGGACTTCAAAAGGAGTGATGCCTAAGGGGGAGCACTGGGCCAAGCCCACGGGGGGGTATCATTTCCGTGATCATGTTGCCATCTACATTTGGTGGACTGGCAAATGCAAATACTTCAGACACAAGTTTAAACAGATGAAAAAAGAAGTGTGAAAGAGCTTGGAGATTTGCTTGCAGAAAAACTCCTCTAAATTCCAGGAAAAGCATTTAATATCAGGAACTTCATAAGTTATTTCAACAGTCCCAAGAGAGTCATTGGTTTATGATGGCATGAAGATTAAAAGTTTTTCTAGTTGACACATATTGCACTCCAACATATCACACGATCACAAAACAGTGTACTTCAAAAATAACTTCCCAAAGTTAAGTACTCTTAACCGGTCAGTAACATTTTCCTAATTAAAATATAGACCATATTTTGAGGTTTTAACCAGGTTTTAACATACATGATCCTGATTAATGTAGAAGAGCCAAAATGCAGCAAAGATACTTACAGGAAGACCTATATGGTGGTGGTGGTGGGGGGGGGGGATAAGAAAGAAAAAAAGGAAGAGATAAATTAGTGAATATGCAAAATATTAAGATTAAATAAAAAGATTAAAACATCATCATAATCATCAGCACAATACAAGGGACAAAGAAGTCAGTGATTCTTAATATTTTTTTAGAACATAACCCTTTGACACCATATCAGCAAACTACATTTATATCTATGTGCATACAAAACTTATCATAAAATTTCAAGGAATTTTCAGATTCCCTGAGGCCTATTTATGAATTACTGATACATTTATATATCTTAAGCAAAGACTGTCTAATTTATATACCTAAAAATTTAGATAAAATATGAATCACAAGGATCTTTGGTCATTTGTAATAGGCCAATTATAGAGAATTGAAATGTAAACTTTCTTGAGTTTGGTAAAATGGCTAAATTAGAAATGTACTCATTATTTGTTCTAAGAATGTTTTTCATTCAATAGTATTGTCAATACATAAAAGAATAAGCCTTGATGTTTATATGTTTCTTTAAAACTATGTTTTCTCATCAAAACACCAGCAAATTCTAAGAAAATTTCAACAGTTCACACACCATAGGTTCAATTAAAACACCAGTTCTAAATAGTCAGAAAGTTGGGAATTAACTTTTACATTTTCTATAGAACTCTGCCTAAGCATAAAGTTTTCACTTTCCTCCCCTCAATCCTATTTCTCTTGACACAAAGATCAATTCTGTGATTATTTGACTCCACCAATGTTTTACCATTTTTTTCTCAAAGCAAATGTATAAAGCACCCTCTATTATGAAACTGCACTTTTCATAGGGAATACCTATTCAAATTTCCAATCATTTAGAGTCAGTGAGGTTTAAAGACAACTTTTGAGAATACTCTTAAAGTAATTAAGCAGCTACACTACCCAAATTCTTGAATTTTCATAAACCCTTTCTACTTTGACATCTTTTTTTCCAAAAGGAAGAAGAAATGAGACAAAATAAAATTAATCTGCACTCTGTTCTTTTTGATAGGTTAGTATTTCTACTGTTTGAACCCTTAGTAATTGATTGTTTTTAATACTGAGAATTACTTATTGAGAATAACATTTCTTATCACACACCAGAATCAAACCTTAACTCACCTTCCTCTTATCTTGCAAGTAAGAACCAATGGCCTCACATGGTCATTTACATTTTTGGAGTCTTAGACTTTATATACAAGTAAAACAGTAAGTGAACTCACTTGGATATCTTGGTTTCAAAAAAATAGTTTTTATTTCACTCTTTTGTTTCACTTTGCATACAGGGATTTGGCCTGAAAGCAAAAACTCACTGAAGTGGCTTTAGGACAATTGGTTGTGTTTCAAGTTCTGCTCATAAAAACTGCATGGACTTGGCCAAATCACCTGACTACTGTGGACCGCCATTTCCTCAAACACAGAATGAAAATGCTGGATTGATTGTTAAGACTCCTGTCATCACTAAAATTCTATGGTTATACAAGAGGAATAAAAATTCCCAAATTTTGAAATGAATGAGAGTAAAAGCATGACAAAATTGTACCATTTGGACAAAATAATAATAAAGCATTCCTAGACATATGCCCTAGTGTCCCAAGGCAGATGTTTTCACAGAGAACCTGTATGTGTGGACTGACCACCTATGAAAATGGACGCATGGGTGATGTTGCCACACTGTGTTCAGCCACACTGTGTGCAGCTAAGAAACCCTCACTGTACACTGAAAGGATGGACTAGATGCAATAAAGAAGACAAAATTGAGTGCCAGTGGTTAGTAATAATATTTGGCAAACTTTTCCTTTGATGGAAATAAGAAAATAAAAAATATATTCTAGGTCTAGTAGAGATTTAAACACACATACACACACATGCACACATACGCGCGCGCGCACACACACACACACAAATGCTACAATAATTAATTAGGAGGAACAGATTCAGGAACCTAAGTGGAACCTAAGCAGCTGAAAAAGCAACTTACCAGATTCTCCTCTTCGGCCCCTCTTACCTCGTTTCCCTGGAGGGCCTGAAATACAAAAAAATACATACATTTTTAAGTTTTGGTTCAGAAATGGCTAGTAAATAATTTCTATATATTTTATATATTTTAAGAATGCCAAGAAATAGACCAGATATTTGTAGAGGACAGCACTGTCTTTGGTATTTTAGCATAGCTCTTCAGCTTCATTCACCTATAAATGTTGCACTATCTCTTTCACCACCAAGTATTGCTTAGGAACACTAAAGACATGGAATTTTTGTCCATCCTGCCCAGATGTCATCAATAAAGGAAAAATTTTCTAAGCAAATTGGTTTTATTGAGTTTCATATTTCTTAGAAAAATTCATTTTCTGAAGGTGTCAATATAAATAATTAAAAGTGCTAAGTATAAATAAATAACTGGTTTCTCTTCAGTAAGTTCCATTATGATTCTCTTAAAAATGTTTAGTTGGCAGTTAGTTAAATGTATATATTAGTAATAAAAATAACCTTACACATATTCCTATTTTATTACATGTGAATTTTCATATATTGGAATTTCTCTGATTGAGAACCAGCTGAGTTAAAATCACAACCCTTTGCATTGGAATGTGTTTAGTTAGTAACTATGGGTCTTAGTTAACTAAGGGCTAGCTCCTCTTGTCATTCAATAAATACTTAGTCTTTATGATGTCACCATTTTAAAAGTGGAGAAAAAACTTTTCTTTTTCAGTGAGTCGCCGATGAAGACCACCAAGCTAGTATGTATCAGACTTAGCACAAGATTCTAGACATTTATGGCTTTTAAACCATTATTCTCAATTATATAATTTCTCCCCTCATTTCCTTGTGTAGGAATAGCGCCCACTAAATTATGGTTCCAGCAAATAGAAGAGAATAATTAGCCCACAATGAGAATTGAGGTCTTGTAATATTTGCTGGAAGAAAGAGGCCAAGGAAAATACAGAACTTCCTGGTTTTAAAGAATGAGCTGCTAAGTTGGACTGATGACTTCCAAATTCCACAAAGTTCAAGACACAAGCAGCACAGGCCTCAGCATCCAGCTGACTCTGACTGTGATCCTGAGCTACCGACTTCCACATGGAAACACTATCATGAGAAATAAAAACATTGGTGGGCCAGTTAGTTTCCTCTCAAGCCTGTACCACAGAATAAGGCCAGCCATCTGTGTTTTGTAAGAGGTTAAAAACAACCAAGCAATAAAATCAATTGAAAATATTAGGAGAAACAGCTTTATAGCAGACCCCAAAATTTTCATTAGAAATTTCAGATTTCTTTCTATATTCTGAAATAAAAAGATGGTTTAATCATATTTGGGGCACTTGGGGCCAGATTGAGAGCATGAGTATCATGTAAACAGGTAAATAAACCCAGTGGGACCCTAGTAGGTATGGAAAATATACATTTATACACACATTCAAACGCACATATACAGAGATATACAGGGGTGGGCAAAAGTAGGGTTACAGTTGTTCATATGAAAAAAGACATGCAGATTATGATTCCTACGATAGCTTTAACTGTGTTTCACATACTCACAACTGTAAACCTACTTTTGCCTACGCCTGTATTGACATATTCTGATATGTAAAATATCCTACGATTAAAATTTAGATTTTTTTCTATTACAAAATCAACTAAACTAAGAAATTTTTAGAAGCTACAATATACTTATGATGTCTGTAATCTGCATAGTAGGGATTGTAGGTGATGAATAAGATGTATATCTTCCCTGACGAGGCAAAAAAAGTTGAAAAGATTAAAATATATACATGAAAAAGTCATCAGTAACATGTTGTGAAGATGGCACAATGAGTTTATACTTTGATTTGTTTCTTCTACGCCACATACACAGTCAATTATAGAAAGAAAAAACATTTTAGAAGTAATTGTATCCAAAAACAAATGGACATGCCTACAGGCAAGAAATGGACCAGAAATGCAAAGTGTAGAGTAGAGATAAAACCATGAGCCTGCTGGGTTCCAGTTCTACAAGTAGGAATGGTGGCCATGACTCTAAGTTCTCCAACCAGAGCCAGGTTCATTTCTTAAAGCCAGAGGCATGGAAATGCTGAAGATATGCTGAAAAAACCTAGGAGTCTGGCTTAAAGGAGGGGGAATACAAGCATAATCTCTCAATCAGGAAAGCTGATTTTTTGAAAAAAATATTTTTATTGATTTCAGAGAGGAAGGGAGAGGGAGAGAGATATAGAGAGAATCCTTGATTGGCTGCCTCCTGCATGCCCCATGCTGGGGATCGAGCTCACAATCTCCTGACATGGAATCGAACCGTGACCTCCTGGTTCATAGATCGACATGCAACCACTGAGCCACTCAGGTTGGGCAGCATCTGCTGATTTGATGTCTAATTCTATGATATGCCCAATATAAATATGGGACAGGAGTCTTAATATGACATTTTAAGATAAGTCTGATCTAGAAGGGTGGGAGGTCAAGTAAAGACAAACATAACATTTTTAGGTTAAGAAAAGGTAAACACAGGGAAAAGAAAGGCAGACACACAGAGAAAACTACATACACACACACACACACACACACACACACACACAAACACACAAAATAATAATAATAAAATACTTTTTCTATTCATAATGAATATAGAAACCCAAATTCTAAAAATGTATGAAGAAATCTAATGCTAAGAAAGACAGCACTCAATAATAAGATCATGAATTCCTTAATTATTTTAAGAAAACATCAGACAAAGGTTGGTATGTTAAGTTTTAAGAGTTAAATGAAGAAGTAACATCCATTAAAGGGCAGAATTTTAAATGTAAACAAGGGGGGTGGAGAACAAGGAGATTTGAAAAAGAACCCTTTAGAAATCTTGAAAATGAAAAAAGACAGTCATCAAAAATTTTTAAAAAGATAAAACAATTAAGTTTTGGATATGGTTGAAGAAAGAACTCATGTGAAAGATACAAAATTTTGTGCACCCCCAAAATTCACATGTTAAAATTCTACCCCTCCTCCCCCAGTGTGGCTGGTGTGGCTAAGTGATTGAGCGTTGATCCATGAACCAGGAGGTATGGTTTGATTCCTGGTCAGGGCACATGCAGGGTTATGGGCTTCCAGTAGGGGGTCAATGAGTCTCTCTTATCATTGATGTTTCTATCTCTCTCCATCTCTCTGAAATCAATCAAAATATATATTTTTAAAAATTCAATCCCCCAAAGATGATGGTATTAGGAGGTGGGACTTTCAGGAAGTACTTTAAGTCATGAGGCTGGAGCTCTCATAATAGGATTAGTGCCTTATAAGAGACCCAAATGAGAGTCCTAGTCCCTCCCACTACACAGTGAGAAGGTGCCAGTTATGAACCAGGAAAAGGGCACTCAGCAAAAGGCAACCATGATGGCTCCTTAATCTTAGACTTCCCAGCCTCCAGGACAGAAAAAAAATAAATTTCTGTTGTTTGTAAGCCACCCAGTATTTTTTTATAGCAGCCCAAATGAACTAAGATGCTATCTATGTATCTATCTATGTTAAGAAAGGAAATTTTACTTATGTCAATAAAAGAATCCAGAAAAAAAATGATAGAGAAGCCTTTTTATAAAAGAGATAACAGATGAGAATTTTTCAGAATTGAATATAGGAGTCCTAAGATTGAATTTATACTCTAAGTGGCAAGTCAAAATAAATCACAATTTAAGCACATGGAAGGAGAAACTTAAGAATATTGAAGGATAAAGATAAAATGATAAGAACTACCAGAGGGAAAATTACAATGGGAAATACTTAGACTGACTGCTATCTAACCTATAACCAGATGCCAAGGAGCCCCTGATTTTTATGACAAGTCTTAGAGACTATCCTATGTAATAAAGAGGTAATATGCAAATTGACCCTCTTGCCCTCACAAGATGACTGCCTAAAACCAGGCCAGCAGGGGGGTTAATGAGGAATGACCAAATGACTGAACAAGCAGACTGCATGGGGCGACCAGGCTGGCAGGGGTGTCAGTGAGGGCCGACCAAACAACTATACGGCAGGCTGTGTGGGGCAACCAGGCCAGTGGTGGGGGACAGTTTGGGGCAACCAGGCTGGCAGGGGGGAGGGTGCAATTGGGGGAA